CTGCTGAGGCTGTTCAGCTGGTGGCCAGAGAGTGGTGTTTGCCACCAGAGCTGGGTTTCTGAAACACATTCTCTGAGAGCAGAATGGGGACCCAAATAAGATGTGCCTTAAACCATGACAGCAATACAGCATGTCTTATCTGGGTCATTTTCCTTCTTTTGACCAGTTTTCAGATGAAGACACGCTGAAGAGCGCTGCGTGCAAGAAGATGGTGACTTTTGATCTCAGCGACTCCGAGGACACAAACAGCACATCCAGTGTAAATCTAGATAAGCCTGAATGTAAGTGCCTGAGTGCCATTTGCAAGGGAATTGCTGTTATGTTAATGGCTGTGTAGGGGTACAGTAGAACTGGGAGGGATGGGGCAGGGAGGCCAGATGTGCACACTTGTGCATATCCAGACTTGTCTGGCAGGCCCCATTCCTGCAGCATGGGAGGATCTTGTTCTTGCTATCATGGTTCTGCTCCACTCTGCGCCCAAGCAGCCTCCAAGGCACAAATCCTGGCTGCAAAGCCTCTGTGTCCCACTTAGCAACAGATTGATTGTCCTCAGCTTGGAGTGTAAGGCACAGGGAAGGTCTCCTTTCTCCCTTACCTTCCCAGTGACCCCTCTTTTCCCCTCTTTTCCACCAGTTGATTTGAGAGCTGATTTGCAGGCTGTTGCCGAGCCAGAAAAGGTCAAGTTCTTGACAGAGTCTGTGATGCGTATCTCTAGTGAACTCGACAAGGTCCTCGGTGTCTTGGGCTCTCTGAGCAGCCAGCAGTCTCCGCTCTTCACCTCGACGCCCCGTGGCAACACCCCTGTTTCTACGTGTGCCTCCTTGCCAGGACTTCATGCAGGTGGCTCCCTGCTTCCTCCACCAGGATGTCTTTGGTGGACCAGTGGGCCTGGAGCACTGGGTGAGCTCTGATAACTCTCTTGCAGCTGGACGGTCAGTGGACAGCATCCTGGCAGACAAATGGCGCAAGTATTTCCCAGGTGAGTAAGTCTCTGTCTTTACTACATCTGCTTACTTGCCTACCACTTCTCCTTGCACAGCCCTGCAAATTCCCACTGTCTTCCCTCCAACACTGGTAAGGCCAGATCCTCTGGTGCTGCTGGTAGGAAGGGTGCTAATGAGATAAGGAATAAGAGCCTCATTCCAGGAAGTGCAGCATATGGCTCATCTGGTTTCTGGAGCAGTTCAGCCTTTTATATACACCCAAGAAAGCAGTTCTTGCTCAAGAAGGAAGCAAAGGAGTCCTGCTTCACTGGAACTGCAGATAGCTTCACCATCTCTGTTTCCTTAACACCACTTCGTCCTTGGCAGGTGGCTCAGCTTGTAGGGACAGGGAGTTCATAGCACAGGAAAGCAAATACACCCAGATGTAAATGCTATTGATTTTGGGGGGGTCTGTATTTAATCTCTGTTTTCCAGGTGGATTCCCAACGCGCAGTGGCAGTTCCAGGCTTCCGGGCAACAAGCTGGGATACGTACCTGCAGAGTAAGGGTCTTGTTCCTTTAGTTGTTGTTTCATTGTGCTGCTTTGATTTCTGTGGAATGATTTATAGGTCACATCATATAACATGTAGATAACAAAATCATAAGGTGCATGTTAAGTAGACAAGTTAGATGTCATCAGTTACTCATTGCCACATGCTCAGCCTTGTAGCTTGTGCAGTAAAGCTGCCGTCATGGATGTGGGTTCACTTCTGCCTAGGCCTCATTTTTCCCACTGTCTCTTTCTCTCCTGTACAACAGGGAGCAAATCCGCCTGTTCCAGCGCTCCAAGTTCCAGAGCTATGAGTCAGAAAGGACAAATAATATTCAAGGAATGATTGAGATGAACAAGAAATGGCTGGAAGACTTCAAGAGGGAATCAAAAATGTATCCTTTGCCTCGGTCCCTAGTTGCACTCCAGCTTCCTGCGGCCGGTCGGAGCAGACAGCAGGAGGTGAGTGAATAAGGAGCAGGAAAGCACTGAAAGCATCAGGGACTTTGCTGTGGGCATTCCCTGCTGAGCAGCCTGCAATGAGGGACAGTGTCCTGAGGCCGGGATGCCTGGAGACATGTGGACCTGGCATGTGGGACAGCTACGTGGTGGGGCAGGGAGGGCCGGGGCTCTCCCTCCGTCCAGCTCAGTTTTAAGGCACGTTGTAGCATGTGGCTGGGCCAAGTAAGTGAGAGCTCTGTCCTGTCAGCGGGGATGGTTCCAGGCTCATGTTGTACCTGCATTACCAGGGCTCTTGGTATTTCCTCTGCACCGTAACTGGTATTAGCAGCAAATCCTTCGGGCTGTCCTGAGCACAGTGCTCCTTTGAATTCCCTAATCCCTCTTTAATTCCATTTGACTTGGGTGCAGCAGGCTAAATGCAGCACATGTGTGCAAGCCTGGCGCCTGCCCCTGGGTACCTGTCCTGTCTGCTGGCTGTGCTCATGCGTGCTAATTCCTTGCCTAAGCCAGGCTTTTCCTTCACCCAGCTGCCAGACCTCTCTTCCCAGGTGCACAGAAGCCCCCTGCCAGCAGCTCCAGCATACTTCAGCTAGGACTGGATGAAAACAGACAAATTAAACTCTACCATTACTGAAGGGTGGGCCTTGGCTCTGCAGAGATGGTGGCAGGGGACACACATTGGTTCCTGTGATACCCAACCATCTCTGCTCTTTGTGCTGTGCCCTTGAAATAAAGTCTTTTTACAACTGAGTGGAGGAAGGAGGAAGTGCGCTTCCCAGGTGGATTCTTCTAATCCTGTAATGTGTCCAAATATACTTTATAGACTGTTTAATCCTGTGGTGAAACATCAGGGCTTCGATAAATCAACACTTCTCTCATTAGTATTCTAGCGATCGTGAGCCATGGCTGTGAATCACGGAGGACTTGGAGTAACTGGTCAAGGGGGAGGATGTGAATCCAGCTGAGGCTCTGCTAGAGGAAATGTGTCAGGAAAGGAGCCCACCCTGAGGCCCAGCAAGTGCTTAATAGCAGGGGGGCCAAGTCATCCGCCTGTGGCACATGTGTGAGCAGGGTGACATGGCTCTGGAGTCCGGGGACAGCATTGGAATGGCAGATTCTGACTCTCAGGAAATGCTCCTCTCTTTTGGAGTGGAAGCAATAGGAACTAAGCTGGGAATGGCTTTTCATGGCTCCCTGCTTCCTCTTTGTGCCACGCCAGCCAGATCTGCGCTGCGGGAGCTCTTCTGTGCAGCGTGGAGCAGGGATCTTGAGAGATGATGGGGGGAAATCTACCCAGCCTTGTGTGGGTGTTGAGACAAAGCCCCGTCTGCACCCCCCCGTGCCCTGGGAGAGGGACCTGAGCTCAGCTGCCAGGCGGTGGCTGCAGGGGTGCTCCTGGGGGAGGCAGGGAGCTGGGAGGGGGCAGATGGTGCTGCTCTAACGACAGGCAGAAGCCAGGCTCTGCTGCTGCAGAGCAGGGAATGTGCTCTGTGCTTGTCTTTGTCACTATTTCCTCCAAGCTGACGTTAAATATTTTAGGCTTTAAAGAACTG